AAATCGCCGAGATGGGGGGGGGCCCCCGTGTGGAGATCGCCGCGGGCCAACAGTCGGCGCGCCACCGCGAGGGCACCGCGGGCGCGCGACCTCGGAAGCGCGGGCAGTCGCGGGCGCCCGCTGCGCCCGACGTGCGAGATTTCCGAGAGTTGCCCTGCAGGGTCCGTCGCGAGGCTGTCAGCGCTTCGCCTCCGCAGCTCCGGGTTTCCGGCGTTGCGAGGGCAGCCTCGCGCGCGGGTGGGAAGGCGGGGCTCGGCGCCGACATGGCCGCCCCCGTCGACTACCAGCGGCCCCCGTTCGAGGGTCGGACTGAGCTCTTCCTCGCCCCGGAGGCGGCCGAGGCCGCCCTGCCAGGCGCCGACGGTTACTGGGAAGCTGCTTCCCAAGAAGACCGCTGGCGACAGTGCCATGGGGCTCGTATTTATGCTCAGCTGTCGCTGGGCGCTCACGCGCGAGCCTCCCGCGCGGTGGTCCCCAGAAAATGCTCGACATCTGGGCGCAGCCCTGCGCGGGGGTCCCAGCTTGCAGGGTGTGTTCCCGCGGGCCCGGGGCGAGGGGCTCGCCCGCGCCGCGGGTGTCGAGCACGGCCGCGGGATGCTAGATATCGTTTTTTCTGCGACCGCATCACCTGGGAGAAGTTTGCGCCGGCCGCCCTGCAGCTGCATTTTCCATATGTGATCTCGCATTTGGAAAGTGCGCAGTGCGCGGCTCCACGATGTCTGGAGCGCAACAGGGCAGTTTCGGTTTTTTTCGGCCCGCTCCTGGGCGTTGTGCCGAGGCCCATGTCGGGGGCTCAGACCGCAGAGATGATGGCTCACCGTGCGTCGGTGTCAGTCGCAACAGCGCGCCCCCTCTCGGGGGCGAGGCCTTGGGTCGTCGATGTCTCGGAGACCATCGAAGGGTCGAGCCCGGCCTCCGGCCGCCATTCAGCCAGTTGCGTCGTCGCGGCCTGCAAGGAGATCCAGCGGAGGCGACTCGGGCTCGCAGATCAGCTGGGCGCAGCTTGCGATTCGATGCGCGATGGTCGTGCTGTGGTTAGACTGGAGCGTCGAGAAGGATTCGTTGCGATGCCAGCGGCGCATGCAGCGCATCTTGGCATTGTCTGTGGGCGCGGCGGGCGAGCGCGGGCGGCCCGCGCGCAGCGGGAAAACAAGCGTCGTCCCATGAGAATCAAGATCTCCACGTTCACGCGGGCGTCTCGACAACACCGGGCGACGACGAAGCTCCAGCGGCGGGGCGGGCCTTTGCGGGCGCGGGGCCCATGGGCTGTTGAGCGAGCGTGCGTCTTTCCAGGTGTCGACGCCGCCCCGCGCAGACGCGCGCGTCGTCGTCGCCGGGCAGGTATCTCGCCGCCGCGCCGTCCCTGCGAGCCCCGGGAGCGGGCCCGGCGGCGCGCTGCCCACGGCGCGGCGGGGCTCAATGCGCGGCGGGGCCAGCCCGAGGCGCGACCTGGAGAGCGACGCGCTTGGGGCATCATCTTGCAGATGACGCAGGCAGCCCCCATCCCCGACCAGGCGCGCCCCATTATGGGCCCCGCGGGCGCCGTCGTCCAGGCGCTCCTCCGCCCGGTCTGGCGCCCGCAGGACCAGTCCATCTAGTTCGCCCGGGCCGGCGCGAACCGCGTCGAGGAACGGCAGTTCCCCGACGGCATCTATATGCGCAGGCGCCCCCGCCATGCATAGACGCGAGGAGGCGCCGGGCGACGCGCGCTGTGGGATGGGGGATGAGAGTTGGGAGTTGTCAGTTCCCCCTTATATCCAGTTATTACATCGGATGTTCCAGCTGCCGAATGGCAGACGCTTGCGCGAGATGATGGCCACGGCGGCCGCGGGGGGCACGCGGGCCAAGCGGAGGCAGAAGGGGCAGCTCCATACTTTCCAGGAAACCGACCTCTGTGACAGGCGCTGGCTCGCTCCAGAGTCGCCCAATCCATCGGCAGTGGCGGTGCAGGGGCAGCGCGGGGGTTGCGCCGCGCCCGGGCTCGGCTCAATTCTGCGCGCGGGCCATCGCGGAGCGCTGCGCGGCTTGCGCGAGTCGCTTTGGCCGCGAGGTCTACCGCCCGCCTCGCGGACCGTCGCGAGCCGTCTCCCAGCGGTTGACGCGCGGCAGCTCGCAGGTCACCAGCGCCTTTCACCTTGCAGCAGGCGCGTTTGCATCGCGATCGCTTGCATGGCCTGCGCTCATCTTCGGCGACGCGAGCGGGGGCCCTGACAATCTCAGCCCCAAGCTCCGTCGCGTTGGCTTTGCAATCGTTCGTTTTCAACGTTTCCCCCCCTCCATTGGGTCTCGCGGGTGTCTTTCTAGGCCCTCGGCGGCAGGGCGCAGGTCGTGGGCAGGGGGCGGGGGGGTTCGAGCGTTTCTTCTTCGCCCTGTGGGCGAGCAGTAACTTTTTCACTTTCGTTGCCTATTACGAGGATGTCGTCGCGGGGTTACGTGGGCGGAGACTTATGCAGCCTAGGGGCGAGGATGCTGACTTCGGGCTGCCGCGGGCGAATTCACCGCCGCCCGACCTCCTGAACTTGTGGTTGTTCTTATCACCCACTCTCACCTCTCGGCTGAGCAGATGGCCAGGGGTGAAGGCATCGGGGAGTTGTTTCTTCGTGGTGCAGTGTTTGATGAATTGGCAGGCGCGGCCGCGGCACAAGCGAGAGTGCCCGAGGCCGAATGCCATCGAATGTGGTTGCGCGAGCATCGCGCACAGTTGGTGCGGATGAGGCTTCTCAGGGCATCGCTTGATTGCCTGACCAAGGAAAAGCAGCTGGCGTGCGAAGGAAGAAGGAGCGGGGGCCCTGCGCCCCCTCTCCCGTCCTCCCCTCTCTGTCTCTTGCTGCTGCTGTCTCCGCCCTCCTCTCCGGACGCAGCCTGGCTGAGTGCAAGAGGCGGTGCGCCAGGTGCTATGGGTCGGCCTCCACAGCCATGTATGCAGGAGTGGTATGATTCTGGGTGCCCGCTTCAGGTGAATGTCAATGGTGTGATTTTTGTTCCCTCCCAGCGGAGGACGGATCCATGTCGGGCCACGGGGTTGGCTCCATCCCACTCGCTTCCCTGGCGTGCGTGCCTCCCTGACCTGCTGGTTCTGCGGGCGGTGCGGGGCGGTGGTTGACAGACAGCTACGGGCAGTCGCAAGGCGATGCCCGTGTGTGATCTCGCCCGCAGGTCGGGCATATTTCAGGAGAGTTCACGAAGGTTAAACCCCACATGTCTTCAGCAGGGCCGAGAAGGTCCAACGAGGCCGAGGTTCGTTCAGCATCGGTCCTGGTATCGCCACGGTTTCCTTCTCCTAACCCTCGTCGTCCTCGTCGTCCTCGTCGTCCTCGTCGTCGTCGTCCTCCTCCTCCTCCATTCCTGTCCTTCTGAGTATTTCCTCGTCGCGCGCCGAGGCCAATCGGAATGGCGGGCCGGGCGTTTCGTTTGAGACACCGCTACCATGTATGATTCTGACGCTTGCAGATGGGTAACAGTTTCACACGTGGAGGGCGGGAGATTTCAAAATGTGGTTCTCGCCGTAACGCCTCGCACATTCGTCTTGCAGCGTTGCAGAAACTTCACGGATTGAGGGCGGGCTGTTTTCAAAGTGTGCCTCTCGCTCCAGCGCCCCGCACGCTCGTTTGAACAAGTTGCAGGAGTGTCACGGATTGTGGGCAGGTGGTTTTCAAAGCCTGATTCTCGCATTAGCGCGCACACATTCGTTTTGGATTAAGGGCGGTTCTTTTTCAAGTTGTGGCTGTCGCTTTAGCGCCGCGCGCATCCGTGTTTTTTCAAACCAGAGAGGCTTCGTGGGTTCTCATGGTCACCATATCAGAAATGATGTTTCGGTCGGATTCGACATGGTGTTTCGGTCGGATTCAGAATTGCCACGGCTCAACAGTTACGTTGATACGCGGTGTTGATGTCCCAGGAATGGTGTCCTGGCGCCATTCAGGATCGCCAACACTCAACAATCAGGTTGGTTCGCGGTGTTGAAGTCTCAAGAATGCAGTTTTGGCACGTTCAGGGTCGTCAAAATGCAACAGGCAAGTTGATTCGTGGTTTTGAGAGTCCAGCGAAGTAATTGTGTTTTGGCAGGATGTCGCATTTTCAACAGGTTGTCTCCCAGCAGGGCACTTGGGGCATTTCCTTCAGTGAGAATCCTTGTAGGTGCCAGTTGAGAAGGAGCTTTGGGAGAGGGGTGATTCCAACATCGTTGATGAGTCTTTGCTTTACAGTGGTCCTCTTCCTGGTCCTCTGTCATCCTCCCTCCTTCTCTTCCTCCCTCCTCCTTCGTTCTCCTCCTGCCACCTCTCCCATTCCCGCTCCCTCCTCCCTCCCCACCTCCTGCCTTCCTCCTCCCTCCTCCATCCTTTCCCCCTCCCTGGCCCCCATCGGTCCCGATGCAGTGTGCGATGTGACTTCGATGTGCGGCTCCAGGGGTCGCAACCCCGACACCGGGGGAGGTTAAAGTGATTACTCTTCCGGATCCGCTTTCGCTGGCCCCGAGGCCCGACAACCAGGCCACGGAGGCCGAAGTCGAAGAAAAACGCGGCGACTGGACGTATCGTCAGAGATCTAGCCCCCCCTCCCCCTCCAGCGTAGGATGGGGGAGGGAGGGGGGTTGGAGAGTGTGTTTGAAGGGGGGTGGAGGGGGTTGGAGGGTGGGTTTGAGGGGGGTGGAGGGCGGGTTGGAGGGTGGGTTGGAGGGGGGTGGGTTGGGGATGGGGGTTGAAGGGTGCTTTGGAGGGTGGGTTGGAGGGAATGTGTGCGGGGAGGGTGATGATGGCTTGTGCTCTCTGCCTGCCGCTTGGGTCGGATATGCGCCCAGCGTGACACTGAGAAACGCTCGGGGGGCAGTTGCCTAGGGTAGGTTCGCGACCCGAGCGCGGGCGTTCAAGGTTGAATGCCGATGGTGTCCCAGAGTCTCCTGATATCGACCGATTTGCGCCGTCGGGAGGCCGCGATCGTTTAAGGCTGAACGATTCACGTGGTGTCACAAACCACCGCCCAGGTCGTCATGGCATGAACCCGCCACACTCCTGCTCTGAGTTTGCGGTTCAAGCCTCTTCGAGCCTAAAGCTGCTGGACATGTGCAAACCCCGGCTTCGCACCGTCGCAGCGCCTGCTCGTGTCGCCGTACGGCACCCACAGGCCCGGAATCTTCCACCTCCTTCCTTCTTCTTTCCTCTTTCCCCTCCTTGTCTTCCTTCTTTTTCCAACCATCCTGTGTTGCTGGGTCCTCGCTTCGAAGAGACAGCGCCCCGCGTATTCTCTTCTCCTTTCCTCGCCTTCTCCTCCTTCCTCCTCCAACCATGGCCTCTGCCCCTCTGAACACTCCTCACACGTTTCGTAACCCCTCTAGGGAGCTCCACCGGGGTTCGCATGGCGGCTGCCTCGCATCTTTTCGGCACACCCTTCACATGCTCCGTGGCCCCCATTGGGAGCTCCACTTCAGGCCTGAATGGCAAGGTTCGCATGGCGACCCCGCCCCATTGCGGTACACTCCTCACACGGTTCGTGGCCCCACAGGGAGTTCCACCGAAAGCCCACATGCCAAAGGTCGCATGGACCCGCCTCGCCTCATGTCGGAAGACCCCTCACACGTCTCGTGGCCCCATTGAGAGCTCCACCAAAGGCCCACATGCCAGGGTTTGCATGGCGGCCCCGCCTGATTTCGGCACACTCCTCGCACGTTTCGCGCCCCCATTGGGAGCTCCATCGAAGGCCTCAGTGGCAGGGTTCGCGTGGCGGCCCCGCCCCATTTCGGTGCACTCCTCAGACGTTTCGCGGTCCCACTGGGAGCTCCACCGAAGGCCCCAGTGGCAGGGTTCGCGTGGCGGCCCCGCCCCATTTTCGGTGCACCCCTCACACGCTTCGTGGCCCCATACTCTTGTATACCTCAATAGTTGTAGTTCTGGGGCTACCTGTAGTCCGGGGAGGCTACCTGTAGTCCGGGGGAGGGGTACCTGTAGTCCGGGGGGGGACCTGTAGTCCGGGGTGGGGTACCTGTAGTCCGGGGGAAGGGTACTTGTAGCCCGGGGGGGGTACCTGTAGTCTGGGGGGGAACTTGTGTTCACGTGTCAACGCACGCGTGGATGTAGCCCTGTGGGGGTACCTGTAGTCCAGGGGGGGTACCTGTACTCGGGGGGGTACCTGTAGTCCGGGGGAGGGGCACCCGTAGTTCGGAGAGGGGGTACCTGTAGTCCGGGGGTACCTGTAGCCCGGGGACCCAGAACTATTGAGGGAGACAGGGTAAGGAGCTCCACCGAAGGCCCAAATGGCAGGGTTCGCATGACGGCCCCGCCTCATTTCGGCACACCTCTCACGCGTTCCGTGGCCCATAGGGGGCCCCACAGAAAGCTCAAATGCCAGGGTTCGCATGGCGTGCCCGCCCCACTTCGGCAAACCCCTCACACGTTTCGCGGCCCCGCAGGGAGCTCCACAGAAGCCCCAGTGGCAGGGTTCGCATGGCGGCCCCGCCCCATTTCGGGACACCCTCACACGTTTCGTGGCCCCATAGGGAGCTTCAACCAAGGCTCAAATAGTAGGGTTCGCATGGCGGCCCCGCCCCACTGCGGCACACCCCGCACACGTTTGCTTCATTGGGAGCTCCACCGAAGGTCCAATTGCCAGGGTTTGCATGTCGGCTCCGCCCATTTCGGCACACTCCTCGCACGTTTCGTGGCCCCATTGGGAGTTCCACCGAAGGCCCCAGTGGCAGGGTTCGCATGGCGGCCCCGCCCCATTTCGGGACACCCTCACACGTTTCGTGGCCCCATAGGGAGCTTCAACCAAGGCTCAAATAGTAGGGTCCGCATGGCGGCCCCGCCCCACTGCGGCACACCCCGCACACGTTTGCTTCATTGGGAGCTCCACCGAAGGTCCAATTGCCAGGGTTTGCATGTCGGCTCCGCCCATTTCGGCACACTCCTCGCACGTTTCGTGGCCCCATTGGGAGTTCCACCGAAGGCCCCAGTGGCAGGGTTCGCGTGGCGGCCCCGCCCCATTTCGATGCACCCCTTAGACGTTTCGCGGTCCCGTTGGGAGCTCCACCGAAGGCCCCAGTGACAGGTTTTCCATGGCGGCCCCGCCTCATTTCGGTGATCCACTCAAACGTTTCGTGGTCCAAAGGGGAGTTTCACCGAAGGCCCCAGTGGCAAAGTTCGCATGGCGTCCCCGCCCTATTTCGGCGCACCCTCACACATTTCGTGGCTGGCTCTCCTCCTCCTCCTCCTCCTCGTCTTCCTCCTCCTCCTCCTCCTCCTCCTCCTCCTCCTCCTCCTCCTCCTCCTCCTCCTCCTCTCCTTCTCCTCCTGCTGCTCGTCCTCCGCCTCTCTCCCTTCTCTTGTTTCCTCTTCCTTGTCCTCCTCTTCTTCCCCCTCCCCCATTCCTTCTCCTTATGAATAATTCCTCCTCCCTGTCGCATCCCGAGGTCGGTCGGAAAGGCGGGCCGGGCGTTTCGCCTGAGACTTCTTCGCCATTTATGCTCTGTAAGTTTGATTTCCGCAACAGTTCCACGGATTGAGGATAGGTGGTTTTCAAAGTGTGGTTTTCGCTTTAGCGCCGCGCACATTCGCTTTCAATATGCAAGGGTTTCACGTGTTGAGGGCGCACTGTTTTCAACATGTGGCTCTCGCATCAGGTCCGCGCATATTCGTCCTTAACATTCGCAAGAGTTCCATTTGTTGAGGGCGCGCCGTTTTCAAAGTGTGGTTCTCGTCTTAGCTCGGCGCACATTCGCTTTGAACGTTTGCACGAGTTTCACGGATTCAGGGCGGGCCTTTTTCAAAGTATGGTTCTCGCATCAGCGCTGCGATTTTTTAGTAACAAATGCAAGAGTTTCACGGACTGAGTGCGGACCGTTTTCAGAATGTGATCATCGCCCGAGCGCCGCGCACACTCGTTTTCAAGCAGATCCAAGAGCTTCACGGATTGAGGGCGGTTCTTTTTCAAACGGCGGTTCTCGCCTTAGTGCCACGCACATTCGGTTTAAAACGGTGCAGGAGTTTCGCGGACTCTCACGGTTAGCGTGCCAGAAATGGCGCGTCGGAACGATTTAGGATTGTCGTGGCGCAACAGTTACGTTCATTCGCGGTGTTGAAGTCCCAGCAGTGTTTCTGGCACGATTCAGGATCGTTAAGACGCAACAGCAATGTTGATTCGTGGCGTTGGAGTCCCAACGGGGCTTTTCCTTCAGTGGGAATGCATCCGTGGGGGCATGTGAAGATGGAGTTTGGAGGGAGAGTTAATTCTAGCATCGTTGGTGAATTGTGGTTTCCTCTTTATCCTCCTCCTGCACCTCCTCCTCCTCCTCCTCCTCCATTGTGTTCCCTTCCTTTTTCCTCTCCCCCTCCTTCTCCTCTTCCTCCTCCTCCTCCTCCTCCTCCTCCTCCTCACGTCGTTCTCCATGTGTTGCCTTCCTTCCTTTTCCTCGTCGCTCCTTTCCCCAGACATCCGATTTCTGTTTGTTGTCAGACTGGGTCCTCAGAAACCCTGGCCCTGTCCCCAGGGCGAGCTTTTCATTCTGAGTCGTTTCCTGACGGTCCTGGGCCCGGGGAAAGCCTGGGAGGCAGAAATTGGACAAACAATTCCGCCTTTATTCGGGTCTGGCTCCCCCCCCCCCCACGGGCCCGTCTTTGGGGATCTCCCCGTGCCGCGGCGCTTACGGCCCCAGGACGCCCCAGAACGCCCCAGGACACCCCATCCCGGGGGCAGGCTTTCGTCCTGGATTCGTTCTTGATCGTCCTGGCCCCAGGGGCCGAAATCGCAAACATTCATTCCCTCTCGCCCTCCCTCCCCTGCACCCGCCTCCCCTGCGACGCCCTCCTCTCTCCACCCCATCCCCCGCCTCCCTCCCCCCCCCTGGCGCTGCCCTCGCCGTCCCCTGCCCCATCCCTTCCCCTCCCCCTCGTCCTCCCTCCCCTGGGTCCTCCTCCCCCTCCCCCTCCCACAGGCCCGCCGCTGGGGACCTCCCCAGCCCCAGCGAGCCGCGACGCATACGCCTCTTCTTCGGGGGCGGCACCGCGATGTACGGCAACCCGGAGCGGCACCCCCAGGGCGGCCAGAGGCCCGCCGGCGGCTGGCGGCGGCCCTTGCCGACGGCCGACGACGGCGACAGCGACCACTGCTGGCGGCCGCGCTCGGGAGCCCGAGGGGGATATCGAGGAGAGGAACCAACGGTGTTCACGGTTCGGACGGTTCGGTTGCATCGCAGTCGGCTGCGTCTGGTCGGTCCAGTTCGGTCGGTCATCGTGTCGTTGTTGGGTCGCTGCGCCTTGCTAGGCTGCTTTCGGCCTGTCGATTTCGGTCGTGTTCAGTTTCGTTGTCGGTTCGGTTGGATTTCGGTTTTGCTGTCGCCGTGCAAGGCCTTGGGAACCCTGAGATCCTGGCGCCTCGATTTTTTTCGCACCGGGCGACTTTGCCTTGTTTCGGGCCCCGGGGCCCTCACGGATCGATCCGGCTCGAAACATGTTGCAGGAAGAGGGGGCATGGCCTTGGTCGAGTTTTCAGGGCCTTGGTCAAATTTTGTTCACGATATTGCAGTTAGTTGTTTTGAGACGTCTGATCTGGGGGATTGCGAGGAGAGGGATGGTCGAGGCTCGAGGGGGAGGGGGTGAGGCTCGATGCAGAGGAAACTCCAGGAGGAGGAGGAGGTGGTTGTTATCGATCGAGGAGGAGAAGGAGGCGAAGGAGGAGGAGGCGGAGGAGGATGAGGATGAAGAGGAGGAAGAGGACGAGGAGAGGGAGGAGGAGGAGGAGGAGGAGGAGGAGGAGGAGGAGGAGAGGAGGAGGAGGAGGAGGAGGAGGAGGAGGAGGAGGAGGAGGAGGAGGAGGAGGAGGAGGAGGAGGAGGAGGAGGAGGAGGAGGAGGAGGAGGAGGAGGAGGAGGAGGAGGAGGAGGAGGAGGAGGGAGGAGGAGGAGGAGGAGGAGGAGGAGGAGGGAGGAGAGGGAAGAGGAGGATCATGGTTTGGAGGAGCGAGGCTTGTCGGCGTTTGGGCACTCTCTGGGCTTCCGTTTGGGGGGGGGGGCGGTAGTTTCTTGACGGCCCCGGGGCTGGACAGCTGGCCCCCGAGGCCGACGTCGAGGAGCAGACACAGGCCGTTTCAAACCTCGTGCCGTCGGAGGTGCGGCCTCGTCGCCCCGGACGCCCGCCGCCGAGCGGCCGTGACGGGCGGTGGGCGGCGTTCGGCATCAGCGGCCGCGCGCGGAGGCTGGGCTACTTCATCCGCACCGAGCTCGTGCGGGGGCGCGGGCGGATGCCGCCGCAGTCCGTGCTGGCGACGGGCACGATCAGAGTGGTCGGGGCAACGTGAGACTGGAGTACACGCCGGTCGTTGAAAGTAGGTATTTTTGGATTCCCAGATCCCAATCTACTTCAAGCGCCTGCCTACTTCAAGAATCGACATGCCTTTACTGTGTTTTGTTACTCTCTGGGAGGACCTGGACCCAATCTACTGTATCCCGCCTTTATACTTCATGTTTCTATCTACTTCTTCCGACCGACGTGTAAGCCAGGGACAAAATCAGCACGGGCGGGTTGTTGTCCATCTACGGCTTCCAGGGGCCCTCAACGGGCCCCGGGACCGTCAAAAACTTCAGGACGACACAAACGGTCCCAGGGAACGGGTCGGGATTTGGGGGGCCGCGTAGAATCGTAAGACTCCAGTGCGCTGGAACTCGGGTTTGCCGACGTTTTCTGACGAGCGCGTCCTGGATTTTGACGGTCTGGTTTTCGCCGGATGGCTGCAGCGGGAGTTCGCGTCAAAATGCAGATTGGGTCTCGTCATTTCCATGGATGGCTCCGTCAGGCCAACCCGAGTCCCCCGAAGCCGAGTCTCGCGTCTCCCCGACATGGGCCCCCTGGGGGTGAGGCGGGCGGACGTCAGCGGGGAAGTTTTGGGGTTCGAGGTGGGGGGCGTGTTCCTCAGGCCTCGGCGGCTCTCCGGCCTCGTCGGGCCAACCCGAGTCCCCCGAGGCCGCTTCTCGCGTCTCCCCGGCATGGGCACCTTGGGGGGTGAGGCGCGCGGACGTCAGGGGGGGGGGGAGGTGTTGGGGTTCGGGGTGCGGGGCGTGCTCCTCGGGCCTCGGCGGCCCTCCGGCCTCGGCGCGCTCCCCGCCTCGCCGAGAGCGTCCCCGGGGGGGGCCCCGAGCGTCCCGAGCGGCCGCCGGAGCGCCAGAGGCCCGAGCTGTGGCGGCCCGAGAAGGGAGAGCATCCGTTTTAGTTGGGGGGGGAGGCTGAGGGCGTACCCCCGAGGTGCCTGCCTCTGCGCGCTCCTGCCCCTCCCTCTCCTGCCCCGTCTCCCCCCTCCGACAGCGGAGGAGGGGGGGTGCCGGGGGTCCGACAGGGGGCCCTGGTCATCGGAGTCCTGTAGCCGTCGCCAGTTCGGGCCTCTTCGAGCTTGAGCATGGAGGACGTCTCAGTCGGGAGCCTCGCCTGTAAGTGAGTTGCGAGGAAGTCTCAGGCGGGAGCCCCCTCCCTATGGGGCCCGCAGCACATGTGATTAGTCCCAGCGGGTCATCGGAATCTTGTAACTGTCGCCACTTTTGGCTTCCTTAAGCTTGAGTATGGAGGAAGTCTCAGGTGGGAGCCTTGTGTTTGAGTGAATTGAGAGGAGGTGTCAGACAGAAATCAGCTCCGTATGGGGCCCGCAGCTCATGTTATTAATCCGAACGGGTCACCGGAATCCTGTAACCGTCGTCACATTTGGGCTCCTGAGGCCTGAATCTGCGGGAAGTCTGAGGTGGCAGCCACGTCTGTGAGTTAATTGCTAGGACGTCTCAGGCGGGAGCCCCCTCGATATGGAGGCTGCAGTTTCGGAGAGGCCCCGGGACGGAGCCAGAAACACATCGGCTCTTCGAGACCAGGGCCCAGCGGTCAAGAGTCTGCCCTCTAGGTCTCCTAGACGGGGTCCGAGTAGGCGGGGTCGGTGGATCGCGCCGCATCGCCGATGCATCCGACCATGCGGCTCGATGCGGAGCCCGATTTTTTCCACGACGACGTCGCCGATGCGTCGCCGACGTCGGCGATGCATTGCAGATGCATCGCCGATGCATTGGCGATGCAGCGCGATCCTCCAACACCATCTCATTGGACCCCACCCAGGAGGCCTCTATATACCCCCAGACCTCTCCTGGTGTGCGTTCTGGCGAGAATGTCGGGGCGGAGCCAGCCACGGGGACGAGAAGCCCCAGGGAGCCCCCGAAAGCGATGAAGTTCGAACCTCGAGCGCCAGGGAGGCCCAAAAAGCCTTGAAGTTCGAACCTTGATCCTCGATCCTCGAAGTTCGAGCAGAGGGCCCTGGAGGCCGAGGTCAGGAAAGTCGGGAGGGGAACATGCACACACACAGACTCAAATTATCGTCGACTCCCAGGAAGATATCGGAAACTGTGGGAAGTGGGAGGGAGAAGACCAACATCCATAATACCTGGAATCATATGGGGAGCACTAGGACTTGTGCCTCCAGTCATTGCGCCTTGGTACCCTTGTGTCCTTGCCACTGCGGCCCGTCCTTTGCCCCGCCGCCCAACAAATCCCAACTTCGGCTTCCAAGGGTCTTGCGACCTTACCACTCATCCTGAGTACACGTTCTGACTGTACGGGAAGTGGGGTGGACGACGAACATCCATAAAATACGGGAACATGCGGGGAACCTATTTGCGACCCACCCGCGACCTACCCGCGACCTACCCACATTGGTTTAACGAACAAGTCGGCGCCTGCGGCGAGCTCGTTGTATAACTTGTTGGCGCCCGCGGCGGGCTTCTCCCGAGTCTCGCAGACTGCCGACGTTCCCACCGTCCCCTCACTCTTGTCCGCATCTGCGGGGTGCTACGGGTATTTGGGCCCCTTGGTGCCAAAATACAGTGGACACCCATGCCAAGAGCCACGCTGCTTGTCTCTGGCGGGGCCCTGGGTTACTTGGGTTTCGATGGTTATGCCATGGAAAGCGTGACTATTCATTTGTGATGGGCCTGTTTTCCACCACTACCACTATAAGTTGGAGGGGGGAGGAGGAGGAGGTGGAGGAGGGGGAGGGGGAGGAGGAGATAGAGGAGGAGGAGGAGGAGGAGGAGGAGGAGGAGGAGGAGGAGGAGCAGGAGGAGGAGGAGGAGGAGGAGGAGGAGGAGGAGGAGGAGGAGGAGGAGGAGGAGGAGGGAGGAGGAGGAGGAGATGGAGGAGGAGGAGGGAGGAGGAGGAGGAGGAGGAGGAGGAGGAGGAGGTGAGGAGGAGGAGGGGAGGAGGAGGAGGAGGAGGAGGAGAGGAGGAGGACACCTCCCCCTCCAACTTATGGTGGTGGTGGTGGAAAACAGGCCCATCAATTTGTGTGTCCCTGGGCGCCCGCAGCATCGACACCTCGGAGGCCTGGGCTCCCGCCCTCGGAGGCGGGCGGGTGCCCACGGCCCCCCGAGGTCTCGGGAGGCCCAGGCCTGCCGCCTGCCGAGGAGGAGGGCCGGCGGCGAGGCCCCAGCAATTCCCGAGTCGTTGACGGGGCCTTGCTGTCCAAGCAAAGGGGAGGGTGGGCGAGAAGGAGAGGAGGGGCAAGAGGAGGAGGAGGAGGAGGAGGAGGAGGTAGAGGAGGTGGAAGAGGCATGAGTGGGAGGAGGAGGAGGAGGAGGAGGAGGAGGAGGAGGAGGAGGAGGAGGAGGATCACGGTCCGCACGGATGTCTGAGCTCGGCGCTAGATTTCCCTACCTGGCGCGAGAAGCCAGCCAGGGCAGGAGTCGCTGCCAGGGGGTCCAGCTCCGATCCAGGAAATCAGCGCTGATCTACGACAGCATATGCGTGTGCTGATGCTCCTTCTTCGATCCTTGTCCTCCTCCTCCTCCTCCTCCTTATCTTCTCCTCGTCTTCCTCCTTCTCCGCCTTCTCAGGGGTCGACTGGCTAAGGGAGGGATTCATCGATCCCCAATCTTCCATTCATCGCCAGTGGGGTCTGCAACCCATTCCGCCCACGAGCGTGTGTTTCGGTATCGGAGGCCTATCGCCAATCTATCAGCGATGTTTCGCCGATGCAAGCTCGATGCTCCCCCCTGAGCTGGTTCCCACCGAGCGTCCCCCTTTTGAGAGGGTCCCCTCCGACCGTTCTTCCAAAATGTTCTGAATTTCCCCGTGCCCGTGTCAGGCCTCCCCCTCGATCTCCCTCGCTCCGTCTTGATCCTCGTCCTCGATCCTCCCCCTTTTTTTTCTCCTCTCTCTCTCTCTCTCTCTTTCTCTCTGTCGCAAACGTCCGAGACGGCAGCGATCGCGCCGGCCAGGGGCAGTCTCGCTTTCGTTAGGGAACTGCTCCCTCCCTCCTGCCTCCCTGCACATCCGCCGCCTTCTCCTCCTCCTCCTTCTTCTCCGCCTTCTCCGCCTTCTCCGCCTTCTCCGCTTCTTCGAGGATCGAGAGAGGAGGAGGAGGCGGAGGGACGGAGGGAGGGAGGAGAGAGGAGGCAGGAGGGAAGAAGGAGGGAGGGAGGGAGGACCGAGGAAGGAGGGAGCCCTGATATCCGACGTCTGAACAACTAACTGCAACGTCGTTAACAAACTCGACATGAGAGCCCTGGACCCCATCTTTCTGCGCCATCTTTCTCCGTGAGGTCCCCAGGACCAGAAACATGACAGCATGGCCCGTAGCCAAAAACAGACACCATGATCTCAGCAATCGTCGTCACCGCCGCCGTCATCATCGCCGCCGTGCTCGTCGTCGCCGCCGTCGTCCTCGTTGTTTTCGCCGTGGTGGTCGCCGCCGTCAGCGTCGCCGTCAGCGTCATCACCGCCGCCGTGCTCGTTGCCGGCGTCATCGTCGTTCCGACCGACTCGCGCGTCCTCCTCCTTCCTCTGCGATCCTCCTCATCGATCCTCGAGGCTCGCTCCTCCCCCTGCCCGCCTCGGGCGTGTTCCTAGGAAAGCTCGATCCTCGATGCTCGAGCCCCCCCCCAGCCTCTATACTCGATGCCCGATGCTCGATGCTCGATCCTCCCAGAGAGAGAGAGAGAGAGAGAGACAGAGAGAAAAAACAAAGAAAGAGAGAGAGAGAGAGAGAAAGAGAGAGGCGAGCTCCAGCCACCCCGCGGCGCGCTGCGACCTCGAGGGTGCGACGCCCTGCTCCGAGGCCCTGGACGCCTGCGGCGCGAGGCGCTCCGATCGGAACGGTGACGCCGACGGCGACGCCGACGGCGACGACCCTTCGCCCTTCGAGGTTCGAGCCTCGAGGATCGATGAGGATCGATGGAGAGTGTCGCGGAGGATTGATGGATCAAGGTGGCTGGAGCTCGCCTCTCTCTCTGGGGGGATCGGGCATCGAGGATCGAGGCTGGGGGGGTCCCGAGGCGGGCAGGGGGAGGATGGAGCCTCGAGGATCGATGGGGAGGGTCGCGGAGGAGCGAGGAGGAGGCATGAGTGGATCGGAATGACGACGACGCCGACGACGAGCACGGCGGCGGTGACGACGGCGACGCTGACGCCGACGGCGACGCTGACGCTGACTGCGACGCTGACGCCGGCACCGACGGCGACGACCCCTCGAGGCTCGAGGTTTGCGCTTTGCAGGCAGTTGTTTTGTCGGCCCCCCCACGGTCTTCCGGTCTCGGGGTGCGTTCTGGCCTCGGGGTGCGTTCCAGCGGCTGCGCCTCGCCGGGAGCGTGCTGGGTTGGCAGGCGGCAGGTCCAGCAAGACGACTCGAGCGTTTGGACTGCAGCGCTGGGCCGAAATGTCCGACGGGAAGAGGCAGAAGAGGTGCAAAAAGGAAGATGAGCGTTGACGCATCTCCGATCTCCCGTGGGGGGCCTGCGGCGCAGCCAGTGGCCTGCGGTCGTGTGTTCGCATCGCAGCGCTATTGCCACTGGCGCGATCTCGGCGCAGCATTATGGCCTGCCAGTTTTGTCGGCGAGCGCTGCTCGAATGAGCGTTGCAGTTGATATCTTTCTCTATTTATATGTATACACGTATCTACATGCATGTAAACATGTGTGTGTATATGCATGCATGTCTGCATGCATGTCTGCATCTATGTATGTATGTATGTATGTATGTATGCATGCATGCATGCATGCATGCATGCATGCATGGGTGCGTGTATGGGTGGGTGGATGCATGGTTGGACTGATGATCGGACTGACAGACGGACGTACGTGCGTATGTATGCTTGCAAGTCTGTATGGATGCATACATTCGTGCATACAATAAAATGCATGTACATGTATTTTTGTATGTATGGAAGTATGTATGTATGTACGTACGTCTGTATGCATTTATGTATTTATGTGTATCCGTAGATGTAGGCATGTGTGTCGGTATGTGTGTATGTATGTATGCATGCATGCACGCATGCATGTATACATGTATGTGTGTATATATATAGATATGAGTGTTGTTGCATGTATGAATGAATGTGTAGAGATACGTGTATGTGCATGTGCATGTGTACGTGTATGTGTATGTGTATGTGCATATGTATGTGTATGTGTATGTGTATGTATATGTGTATGTTTATTTGTGCATGTATGCGTGCATGCAAGCATACATGTTTGTATGTTTGTTATCCTGTATGTGTGGGCGTATCTACGTATGACTGCATGCATGTCTGAAGGTATGCATGCATGCATGTGTGCAGGAATGTATGTTTGTATGTACGTATGTACGGATGTATGCATGCATGCATGCACGTGCGCACGTATGCATGGTTGTATGTGTGTACGCACATACGCATGCATACATCAATGTGCGTATGTGTGTGTATGTGTGTGTGTGTGTGTGTGTGCATGCATGTCTGTATGACTGTCTGTCTTTCGGTCTGTCTGTGTGCATGTATGTATGTATGACTGCATGCATGTATCCATGTATATATGTATGCCTGTATTTATGTATGTACGTATGCTCGCCAGCGTGGACCCCACCAGCGGCGGCGGCGGAAGGAGCGTCAAGGGCGGTGGCGGGCGTCAGAGGCGGTGGCGGCGGCGGAGAGGGGATAGGAACGAGGCGGGGCCAGCTGCACAGGTGATGAGGGCCGGGCGGACCGCGCCAGGCAGGTAAACTATGACGGTGGATGGCCAGCACTCCCCTGTTACGTTTGCATTCGGGTTGCCCATGTGCGGACGTGCAGGCCATCGGCGGTCCACTGTATTTCAAAAGCAAGACTGTATATATGCATACGTATATATATGTATATATAAATATATATCTACGATTATGTTGTCTCCCCCTTGTCCGCCGGGAGAGACCCGCTAGGTGGGGACGGCCGGGGCGGCAACCTTGCGAAAGAAAGACACACACATCTATGTGTAACAAGATTTGCGGTGCAATTCCCTCTGATTTCATCGCGCGTTACCATCTCCCCTGCTCGCGCAATCGTCCCACACACCCACCCGCAACTTGGTTTACAATGCCCATGCGAAGCGATTGCGATGGCTGCTTGGCGGAGGCTGGTGCATTGGTGCGACCGCGCTAGCGCGCGCAGGCTCGCGCGCAGAACTGTAAGCTAGTGTGGCGCGACCGACGCGGCCGCGGTGGCGGTGACCGCTGGGGACGTCCCAGCGCGTCTCGCAGGCCGCGCTGACGCGCGTGCACATCAGTGCGAGGCGGTGGCTCGGGCGGGCGATGCATCCTGGCGACGTCGACAAAGGCAGACACTATTATGATTGTCGCGGTGTTGGTGGCGACGATGACGATGACGACAGCAAGGGCAATGACGGCGCTGGTGCTGGTCATGCCGATGACGGTCGTGCGAGAGGCCCGGTTGGTCGTACGCGATGAATATGTAGGATAATATTGGTGTATATATTTCATATGGGATAGTTTTTCTGCAATGCCTTGTGTGTTGATGTTTTCCGGGGCTCTCATTTGGATTTTTTTCCGAAACCGAAGGTTTGCGAGGGATTCCGGCAGGCGCGCGCATCGATGGGCGCGCGCGCTTTTCGTCATTTTTTTTTCAAGGGGCTCTTGTACATGTATAATTTGTGACGCAGAGGGCGGCGTGGCGGATTTTGGCTGGGATGGTAAGAGCTCATTTTAATAATGAGTGATGGGGCAAAACCGTGGGTAAACTGCACATCCCCAGGGTGTGCCCATCATCGTGGCCCCGGGCTGGTGGTGGATCTTAATTCGTTCTTTCATTTCGATCTACTCGGCGATTCTGTGCGCAGCGAGTTGTTAATTCAATCTTCGCGCAATCATCCCGCCCACCCACCTGCAATTTAGTTTGCAAAACCCCCGCGGTGGCATTTGCGATGACTGCCTGGCGCCGCCCGGCGCATCGCTGCGGCCGCGCTGGCGCGCGCAGGCTCGCGCGCAGAGCGGCCGGCTAGTTTGGCGCCGCCGACGCGGCCTAGGTGGCGCTGGCCGCCGGGGATTTCCCAGCAAGTCTCACAGGCCGCGCTGACGCGCGGGCTCCTCAGTGCAGGTCGGTGCCTCGGGCGGGCGCGGCATCTCGACGACGTCGGCAACGGCGGACGCTACGGCGGCCGCGATGCCGGTGGCGACGACGACGATGACGGCGGCAAGGCCAGTGACGGCGCCGATGCTGATCGCGCCGATCGCGATGTTGGCGCTCGCGGTCGGCGGTGAAGGATTTTGGAAGATTCTGACACTGGCGCGCGGCCGACGGGCGCGAGTGGCGGTCGCCTGCTGAATTCGAAAGTGCGCGCGCAGTTTTTTCTGAACAATCGTGTTGCAGGGCCATGCGTGTTTGCATGTTTCCGGCGCGCTTGCTTGTGACGCCCCCCTGGCGCCCGACGTTGTGGAAGGATGTCGACTTGCGCGACGACGACCTTCGAGCGCGCGCTTCGCCCCAGTTTTTGGCGCGGCGGCTAGCGCGTGGGTGATTGCTGATAAACGGTTGCGCGCGCATCGTTCTATTTGACGAGCATGAGTGGTTGTTGGGGACGGGGGGTCGATGCCTCCCCGGCTGGGATGGCATTGGACCATATTTTGTTTTCACGATGGGGCAGACTCATACTTGCACAGCGCATCCCCAGGGTGGGTCGATCAGACCGGGGGGCGGTGGGGGTTGGGTTTCATCGTTCTAGAATAGAGAACCTCTGAAGGTTGAAGGGTAATCTATGTGGTGAGTTCTATGTGGCGCAGATGTCGGCCTCGCACCGCGCGCGGCCGCCTCCCGCGCTCGCGCAATCATCGCGCCCGCCCGCCCGCAACTTCGTTTGTTAAGCCCTTGCGGCGGCGATTGCGATGTCTGATCGGCGCCGGCTGGCGCGTCGCCGCGGCCGCGCCGGCGAGTGGGCTCGCGCGCAGGGCGGCCGGCTAGTCTGGCGCGACGGCGCGGCCTTGGTGGCGCCGACTGCTGGGGGCTTCCCGGCGCGCCCCGCAGGCCGCGTGAACGCGCGGGCACATCGGTGCGAGTCGGTGGCTCGGGCGCGCGCAACGCCGCGGCGACGTCGACGGCGGCGAGGGCCTGGCGGCGACTCTGGCGACGACGATGACAGCGACGACGGCGCGGGCCATGGCGGCACCGATGACGCCCGCCCTGGCGACGGCGATGGCGCCCTCGCGTCGGCGGCGGAGGTTTTGGAAGGATTTCGACGCGCGCGGCAGACTCGCGAAAGTGGCCCGCGTGGCGTCATTTGACAGGGATTGCCCCCCCCCCGCGCGCGGGGGCGCTCGAATGATCTCGACGCGGGCGCGCGCAGACCCCCTCAACGACTCATGCTGCAGCGCCGCGCGTAATTCGCGCGATTTCGGGCCGCGCGGTTTTGACGCCCTTGCGGAATTTATAATTTGGGCGCGTTTCGGCGCTCGCGCGCGACGGCGCGCTCGCTTCGCCCCGCCGCGTCTGCGGGATCATTGCAAGCGCGCCGTGGAATTCGAGCGATGTCGACGTGCGCGCGCGAGGGGCATTTAATGTAGATGGTGTGCGACCGATGGGCTCCTGTAGAATCCGCAGCGACGCGAGCGCAGGCTTTTGCGATCGATCATGCGTCGAAGCCTTGATTGTTGTGTGTTGTCAGGTAGCTGGACTTTGGAATGTCCGCGAAACCTATTGTTATTGAAAGATTTCGGCGCGCGCGAGGCTACTCGCGCGTTTTGTTTTTGTTTGCGCGCTGGGGTCTCTCTGAATATTTCCACGAAGACGAACGCGCTCGCGTGATATCATTCGAGCGGCATGGCGTCGCCAGTCGAGTCAC